TTAATATTTTATAAGGAATATGCTATCAATTATGGATTTTATCTTCAGGATAATAAATCATGATATAGCTCTTCTAGAACGTTATTTATCATCTTTTACCCAATAGTAAAAACTTGTGTAGTTATGGAAGGTTGAGTGCTACTGATTTTTCTAGAGTCTTTTGAAAAGGAATATAAGATATAAGGAATGATATTAATATTAATAATAACAAATTCCATCCAACATAATTCATTTTGTATTTCAACAATTTCCTCTTCAAGTGTAAGTCGAAAAGATCTATAAGGACTAAAATCAAACTATATAGCTATAAAGATTTAAATCATAAGCCTTCAAAGCTATTTATAAGTCATTAGTCTTCAAGACTCTATATAGTAAATATGTATATTTTAAACATAATTTGTGTTCTTTAATATTTGAACCATAAGACTTCAGAGCTTTAAAAATATCATAAGTTATTATTTTCATATCATTCAATAACATGAGTGTAATAGCTGCTGGCCATTTAGTAATAGGAAATTATAATATTAATAAATATCAAATTGAATGTCAAGAATATATGAGAATAAGATAAGAATAAAACTTAAATTTTAAATTAATTCAATGTAACATAAAATAAAGAGAAAAGATAAACTCTTTTACGAACACATCGCTCACTATATAATCATTAGTTTTCTGGGCTATATTATTTATAATTCTAATTGTCATAATTTTTTTTTATAAACAAATCATATAATGATCCTTCTCATAATCAAAATCATATGACTTCAGGCCATTTAATAAAGAAAATAAAGATACATGGCATCTAGCTATTTAATTTCAAAAAAAAAAAATAAAGATATATGGTTTCTAACCATAAGATAAAAATTTGATGTTATATGGCTTCTAGCCAATTAATAAAATAACAAAAAAATTAAATATTTATGACTTTTGGCCATAAGATAGAACATTAAAGTTATATGGATACAAGCCATTTAAGAAGATATATAAAAATTATATATATGGCTTATGGTATAAAATAGAAAATTCAACATGATACATATCAATAAAGATAAATTAAATATATATGGCTTCTGGCCATAAAATAGAAAATACAAATTATATGGCTTCTAGCTTTTTAATGAGATAAAAAAATTCAAATATATATGGCTTCTGGTCATAAGATAGAAAATTAAAGTTATATGGCAACTAGCCATTTAATAAGATAAAGAAAAATTATATATATATATATGCCTTCTGGTCATAAAATAGAAAATTCAAATTATAAGGCTTCTAGCCATTTAATAAGATAACAATAATCAAATATACATGGCTTCTAGCCATAAGATTAAAAAAAAAATCAAAGTTGTATAAGTTCTGGCTATAATATAGAGAATTAAAATCATATGGCTTTTAGCCATTTAATTTGAAAAGAATGGAAAATCAGAATTATATGGCTTCTGGCTATTTAATTACAATGAGATGAAAACTTAGAATTATATGGCTTCTGACTATTTAACTTTAGATAGTAACTCTTTAAGGATACTGTTAATATCTATTGGAACTTCGGGTTCTATCGAAATAGTGACGTCAAGTCAACAAGAAATAGAGGGGGGAAAAATCCTCTCATCATAATTAGTTCAGAAGGTATAATATCTATATCAAAATTAAATTGCGGCATTAAAAAGTAAAACAAAATCTCCAATCATAGCCATAGAACCCAATGTTTAAAACAACGGTCGATAATCTTTTTAAAATTGAATAGGAATACAGATATTCTAAAACACATTATATTGATGCTTGAGATATTTTTATTTGAACAGAGTAAGAGATACTCTAGAAAAATAATAGACATGATGTTCTAAAATTATACTAGGGTAGAAATGTATATCATACGCACCTTGATTAGAGTTTCGTGCTGATAGCGTGTTTTAAATAAAAAAAAAATATAGAGAAGAATTATACAGAGGAAGAAAGGATCAACAAGAAAGAGTATTTCTCATTCCATTCAAGAGAGTGCTCAATACATTATACATGGCTTCTATTTATAGGCACAGTTTTACATCTTTGATAGAATCTACAGATTAAATAATAATATGAGATAATTGTGTGATATAGAGATAATAGAAGATATTGAAGATTATAGGAGATAATGAGATATATATAGATATCTACAAAGATATTATTATATTTATAGCAATGTAATGATTGTGTGAGTCATGGTAGAAAAATTAAGGGCGTGTTATTTTTGTTTTTGTTTTTATTGTTCTCAAAACAAATTTATGAAATTATTTTTTGCAAGTTTTGGAATAAAGAGACAAAAAGATATGTTTAGATAATTATTTTAAAAAAAATTCACGTTTGGAAAAAAAAATTATATTTGGTAGGTGGTAGTCGGATATGTAGCAGGTGGTGGGTGAGAAAAAAAAGAATATTTCAAAAAAAATCTATATTTTTTTTTAGTTTTTAAGATTTTAAAAACATATTATGGTTTTTTTAATATAACCAACTAAAAAAAAATTATAATAATTTTTTTTTGGTTTTTGGTCACAAACTTTTTTTTTTGTTTTCTTCCTTTTAAAAATAAAAAATTATTTTCAAGAAACCAAACAACTCTTAAATGGTCTATAAATCTGTTTTTTTTATTCATTTTAAAACTCACGCAGGAGACTTCAATTTGCTGCTTGCAAATGCATGTGTAGATAAAACGTACTTCTACTGTATTTAATATAAGACCTAATTATTGAATAAATCTTGATCTTAAATATAAAATATATTTATCACATTCATCATTTTTTTTAAGTTATCCCCATTAATACTTCCTCCACCATAATCAATGAAGAGAGGAGGAGGATATTAAAAAAGATAATTATGATACTTTAGAAAAAACATGTCACATTTTTCATAATTAACTAACTTACCTATTTTTCTTAATCTAATTATATAAGTTAAATAGATTCTATATTAAGGATTGGAGGAATAATATCTTTTCAAATGAAAACACAGCAGGTGGGAACTGGAACTAGTTTCAGTGCTCATCATAGTGATAACTACTGTGATGCTCATCAAATCTCAATCATTTAAATTTAATATGGATGATCAAGATTTAATTATTAATATTTTTATTTTTCAAAAATTGTTTTCATTTTAAGAAGTACATAATCTAAAATAAATATAATTTCTTAACTGTAAGTTTTTTAAAAACTAATTTTTTTAGTTAAAATTCATTAGTTCAAAATTTTAAATCTCTGATTATTAAATCTGATTTTGAAAGATTTAGGTTTTTCATGCTACTTATCAGTGCGATGAGTATCCGTCAGTTAAGTCTTCAGTGCGAGTCCCACTTCAACCCCGCCATCGCCATCTTTACTCTCTGCCATCGCCATCGTTATAGTTCTGTACACTGAAATTTTCTCCACCTTCTCAGGCCTTCCCCATCCAAAGTCCACTTGATAAAGGCAGAATCGGGCCGACCCGGCTACTACTATACCCATAACTTGCTTCTCCTCATCATTTAGCAAAGAAGAATACCAAGAAAACAACGTCTCAGCTCCATCCAGCGCTCCTTTCTCTCTCTCTATTTTCTTTATCTTCCTGTGTATTTTCTTAGCAACCATGACTACCCCATCCTCATCTTTCAAGTCTTCTGGCTGTATTTCGATTATCTGAGGCATCACGCAATTACCAAAGTAGGTTTCAGGGATTGGATGCTGTAACCTGTCCCTATAATCAGCCGGGAAGTAGAATAACAGTTTCCTTGTCTTGCTTTTGTCAGTTGTTTCAATGGCTTTGGCAATGCAAACGAGAACATAAGAAGTTGTAAGGACGAAGGTTGACAAAGTTTGAGGCTTCGAAATTGTTTAGTCTTCCCTTTCTTCTTTGGTCTCCTAATTTTCCCACTTCTGTAACACTCTTTCCTTTATCTTGTTTAAATCTCCATGCTTGAGCTTGAAGGTGGCTCGAGACGAGTCTTCCACTTTCGGCGGGAACATGTCGGACAAAATCTTCAAGCCTGGCTTCTTCAGAGTTGGATCTAAACCAAACAACCCATTAATGTATGCAACTTCGATGCCATGTGGATCGATGATAACTTCCCTGTCTAAGAATGGTTGTAGTTTTTGAGGAAGCAAACCAGAAGATTCGTTCCCTGCTTCTGTTCGACATAGATGAGCCCAGGCTTTGATGAAAAAAGAAGATGATTTTCCATCCAAACAGCCATGGTGTAAGCTCATGCCTATGCAAAATCCACTGTTGGGAAACAGCGTAATTTGTGTAGAAAGAACCGAGGAAAATGAATCGGACGAATCCAAGTTGGGCACAAAAGCACAAGATTGCGAGGCGTTACGACGCGACTTGTCTAAGAGATGGTTCATATCAGCATCAGAAACAGCTATGGTGAGAGGGACGGCATCTCCAGGAGTGTATTGAAAGATGGGTTTGTGTGGATGAATCGGAGGGCCAAATGATGTTACCGACAAGAGGAAGAAAGTGCTGCAGAGTGAGAGAGAGGGAGATTTTGAGCTTTGGAACAATGGAATGGAAGAAGGAAGAAGGAAGAAGGGTTCACTCAAAAAAAAGGAAGAAGGGTTCAAGTGAGGAACAGAGAAGAAGAAGAGACGCTCAACAGGATGATATCTGAGCCAAAGGAAGTCGAAGAAGGTGAGAGAGAAAGAGGACTTTGGTGAAGATGGCGGCGGAGATATTCTGCAGAGGTCACGTGGTTTCAGAGATCTATTGGGACTGAGAGATGCCATGGATGAGAAGGAAGCAGGGAGAGCGTTATCCGTACACACTTTCACATCTCACAGGGGAGGCTACGAAACCGCCTTTGGATTTTTGGAGTCGTGGCGCCTTTTTATTTATTAATTAATTATAATAACAATTTTATTTTGTATATTTATGTTTTTTAAATAAATAAAAAACTATATTTAGGTCATATTCTTACAAAGTAATGAAGTTATTATTGCTTACTAAATTTGTCCCAAGTCCAACTCCCCCAATTCCTTGAACAAGTAAATTTTACCTCTATTGCACTACTCTGTGCGTGCAATGTGAGTTTTTATTTATCCATGTGAATTCTTGTAATGATATAAAATATGGGTTTCTTCTTGGATTGGAAATAACCTCTAATCCAAACAAAAAAGTCCCCGTATTTTAATTTAAAAAAATATAACTTTTCATGTAATTATAACTAGAATTGGCATAAAATGTCTTTTTTTCACGTCAGTTTGATGACTAATGGAGAACGTGTAGACTTTTTAAACCATTTTATGCCGATTTCAGAATTGGTGTGAAATGTCAATTTTAATTGACATAAAAAGTTATTTCTGTAATAGTGAATATAATAATATACTTGGGGATTGTTTAGGTTGAGGGAGGGAGGGAAGGGTAAGATGGGGAAGCGCGGGGGAGGTTTTTTTCTTTTTGGCAAGAGGGTGGGATGATTTTAATATTATATATCTTACTCGGTTTGATTAGAGAGGAGAGCAAGGAAAGGATATTTAATGATCATTTGTTTGTTTTGTTTAAGAGAAAGATGGGTAGCAGAAATTTATTTATTCTTTTACTCTTAGATATTATTTTATATTTTTATTTTTATATTATATAAATTAATTTATATCTTAATTAAAATTACATATGTTAATAAAAATTTAGTCTTATCATGTTAATATGTATGTTAAAAAATTGGTACAGTGATTTTTTATTCTAATTAACATAATATAACCAAATTAACAAATTTTACGAAAAATTAGAATGGAACAATGATATTTATAAAAAAGGATCAAGAAAATTGTAATTATTTAGAAGAATCAGAAATCAAAATAAAAGTTTGAAAACACTAAATTTCCCTTAATCAAAATCGAACATCATGTGCTCCCTCGTACATTATCTCTCCCACAATCTATTTTTATAACTTAAATTTGGCTAAATTAAAATTTCCCCCAATTTTTACGACTTGCACTATATATCTATTAAAATAAATTATACGAACATTGTTTAGGTTTATAATTTATTATATAATTTTAGTAAAAATAAAAATTGTATATTAAATAATTTTAATAAAACTCAATATCTTTTATAATTTATTTTTTTATTACATATAATTTATTACATATGATAAAGAAATTTTATATATGTTTATAAAATGAAAATAAAATTTACACAATAAAAAAATTCACAGGAAGTTTGTGTAATTTTTTTAAGTAAGAAACTTATGTGAGTTATAAAAATAATTCAATGATACGATAAGAATATGGATCTTGGTGAAAAATAGAAGTTAAAAAAAAAATATAGTCATGCGGATGATGGGCAGTTTTTAGTTTTAATTTTTTTGGGGGGGAAAAATTCTAAAGGTATGAGAGGATATAGGAGGTGTAAAATATGAGCAACACCAAATCCCTCTAGAGCCCAAACCTTCATTTCTCCTGCCCGTTGTCCCCCTTGCTTGGCCCTTCTTTAAGGGGTTGTTGCGTAACAAGTGCATGGTATCCATTTCAGGAGGGGAAATTTAGTATTTTTAAATTTATATTTTTAAATTTGATCGTTCTAAATAATTATATATTTTACCATCTCTATAGTAAAATATTATTTTTCCCAGGTCTTTCATACTAATTTTTTCCAAATTTTATTTGCTTTACGAAAATGTTCTCTTTCGGATATGGTTTTTCATCCAGCCTTAACGTATATTTTAATTAATAAAATAATATATTTATAAAAATCAATTAATTTTATAACAATATAATTTTTTAATTGTAATAATATTTTTATTTTAAATTAATTTTTATTTTAATGTATTTTTAATTATAATAATTTTTACCTATAATAATATATATTTTTACTTGAAATTAATTTTATAATAATATGTGTTTTCTTTTTAATGGACATTAATGAAATATCACAAAAAAAAAAGGATAAAATGATCCAAAATTTTGGCTTCCCCGTAAAAAAACTCCAATTTAGAGGGAAGCTAAAATGGATGTAAGGTAAGTAAGGGCAAGGAAAGATTTTTTTTTAAAAAAATAATACTGGAAATCTTACTCATCAAAATATCAAGTGAATACAAACACTATCCTCCTTTTCATTACTACATAAAATATATTTAACGACTTCATTTTACGGTGGTTAAACAAAAAAACACCATAAAAAAAGGCAGTGGCATTTTATAATTAATGCATGGTAAGTTTTGATTTTTCATAACAGTTATCTTGTGAAAAGTACTTTTCACAGCGGTTATTAAGATATTTAAAAATTCATTGTGTGCTTGAAAAAACCTTATTGTGCTATAAGTTTCTAGGTTTTCACATTGTGTTGTGGTCCTCTTCTTTGCCCCACCACTTAAACTGCATTTTTCGACATAACCCGCACTATATATCATTATTTTTTGCCATTTGTTTGCCGCATGTTGTGCTACCATCGTGTTTCACAATTCAAAGTTGCCTCTTTTCATGTTTTACTTATCCCCACATTGTGAGTTTTCTTTTTAGTTATTTTGTTCCCTTTTTCTTATTGTTTTGCATGTTTGATGGTAGAAATTTATTATATATCAAATAAGTTGTTTAATTTTATATTTGGAACATTTTACGTTGTTTATTTTGAGTATCTTACATGCTTGAAGGGTTAGTTTGTGACATTTGGAATTGAAGAACTACAATTACTTCCTATACACGGCATCAGTTACATGTTTAAATCTTCAAAGTTGATTAATTTTTAAGTTTGTAATTTTTTTAATTTTTTGATATTTATTTTGTATTTTTATCAAATTTTTGTTATAAATTTTGATATTTCCCAATAAATAATCTGCTAAGTGTTTGGCCAATTTTTTTTTTTCTATTATGAACTTTGATTGATGATAAAGTGTTTTTAAAAATTTCATGAAAAACGGATATCATTTGTTTTTCCATTTTGGATTCAGAAGTTTCAGCTTTAAAAATCTTTATTCATTAGTTTGAAATTGTTGGTTTTGTTTTGTCAGTTATAGTTATTTAAATTTGTCTTGCATTTGTCCCTTATATTATTGGTTAGTTGATTGGTTGATTTGTTTGTTGTTTAAGGAAAAAATTTGTCAAAATTTTTATAAAATGAAAAAGGCATTTCTTTTAATTTGCAATTAAGTGTTAGTCAATTTTAATTTATTTATTGGCTAACACTTAATATTTGACTTATTTGAATATTCAAATTAAGTAGTTAGATTTGAGCTTGAGAATTATGCTCATTGACACTGTAGAATAATGGATTATGGTTGGATCAAAGCTAGGAAGATTAGCAAAGAATATGAGAAGGGTTGAAAAGTTTTTTTGAATTTGCTTAAAAAAATGCCCCTAACAAAAGAGATGGCTTATATTGTTGTCCTTGTGTCAAGTGTTTAAACAATAGTTGAAGAAATATTCTTGAGATAAGAGAGCATATTATCTGTGATAAGATAAATTTGAGGTACACAAATTAGATATGGTATGGAAAATTAGAAAGACTACTCTTTTTACAAAGGGGAAAGATGTGAATGATGACTTTGGTGATAAAATTTCGGATATGTTTTGTGATATGAGGTTTGAGTCCTTTGCACATTTCTCTCCCACATGTGAAAGCTTACGTAGTGATGCAGAGACGTCTTTGTACCTAGAATGTAAAGATGATTACACAAGGTTGACAACTGTGTTGAAGTTGATGAACTTGAAGACAAGAAATGGTTGGACCGATACTAGTTTAATAGAATTGCTCGAGTTGTTGAGTGATATTCTTCTTAAAGGGAATTTACTTTCAAAAAGAATGTATGAGACAAAGAAAATTTTGTGTCCGGTAGGTTTGGAATATAAGAAAGTACATATATGCCCTAATGACTGCATATTGTTCAGAAATGAGTATGAAGGGTTGAATAAATGCCCTGAATGTAGTATTTCAAGATACAAAGCGAAGAAAGACGGTGGTGATTATGATGAGCTAATCAAAGGTCCTCCTTTAAAAGTGCTGTGGTATCTTCTAATAATACTATGGTTTAGGCATTTATTTGCTAATGCCATAGAAATAAAGTTCCAACATGGTGGCAGAAAGAAAAATTTGCCACCATCAACATGGGTTCTCCCACAAATGTTGTTTATTTGCTAAGTATATGTTCATAATTTTTAGATAATCAAAGTTAGATATTCAATTTTATTTTTTATTTTTTTAGTACCATTATCAACCTGGGAGTGTTGAATGCAGATATTACGTGATATGCTATATGAATGGGATCATTGAAACAGGGGTTATTAAGAAGTTAGAAGGGATAAAAATAAGTTACATTGTAATTCTTCATTTTTTTTCCACATTTTTTTATCTAGTTGACTAATGACTTTATTTTTTTTTTCAATTTACAAGCATTCCGAGATAGTTTGTCATATAATCCCGAAGAAATTAACAAAATAAGGGATGCTTTGTTAACACCATTGCTTGAGAATTTTGAAGATGTGAATGACTAATTCACATTTTAGTTCACTGCTTATTAGGTTTAGTTGAAATATTGATTAGTTAAATTGTTAATTATTAAGTGTAGTTGATCGAATAAGGATTGGAAACATTAGTTATGTCAGTGTTAGATTTGAGTGTTAGATTTGAGTTTAAGCCTTGAAATGGTTTTGCATTCTTCTATTATGCTAGCTGGATTGGGTTTGTAATTGGTTTGGCGTTGCAAAGCGGTTATATAGAAAATTGCAATGAATTATTTAAAAAGGTGTGGCAAGTGATAAACATTGTGGAAGTGAGGGTGATCTATATGATGACT